AATAAGATCCGATCAATTACGAGATATGAAAATATGTTAATCATAATTGTCAATCATATCTTTCATGCCATTATTAAGTCGATATAAGTCGAAAATTCCTTTTCAACTTATGAATACACTTTGACCAAGGATTTCATTATAAACTTAATTGGATGAACTATAGATTATAATTTCTTACTATCTAAGAGTGAAGAATTCTCTATTGATCATTCACAACTTTCGTCTGATTTTTAACATACCTGAATAATGTCGTAATAGCTACTCTTGGCAGAGCAACATTCCATATCACCAAAGTATGACTTTTCTCATATAAAATACTATGACGACCTCAAATCAAAAGACCAATTCTACTACCAAACATTAGAGATTAACCAATGTGGAATCTCCTCAGCAAGTCTCTACTATTTTGCTCTATGATAAATCATCCACCTGTTCATTTAAGTATCACACTTTAGCTTGTGAAATTTGTCACTTCTTTCACACGTAAGAAATGACACTAGTAATGGTTGTAATAACAATAATCGTATCTCGTTATTATTTACGATCACGAATGATTTAAGATTCAATACAGATAATTTTTATCTCATAATCATAACTCCATATGATTAACAAATTACCAAAACTTATATCTACGAATTCTATTATTTAATTTATTATAATATTAATTAAATTAAATAATAAATCTACCATAAATGAAATGCACCAACTATATATATTAAAGGTATTTATATCAAAGCTAACTGTATTTAGAACATAACACTTACAAACACCCACTTACACTAAATTCAATCACTTATGTTTTTAATATCATACGGGTCTATATGACAATCATGTTTATGCGTGGCAATTGTCAATGGATCTGCAATAGTATCAATTATGAGAATTCTTTCTTTCTTTGCGTCATTTCTTTATATTACATGTCTAATGAGATGATATTGCCTTAACATTTGGACCATTGATGAGACTTTAGTTCCTTCGTTTGCACGATTGCTCCTGTAACGATCCAAACTTTTTACCTTTGGAATCATTATATATGTGCTGTAAAGAATACTTTATTAAAGAAAAGGAAAAAATTAATATTTTCTTTAAATATAAAGATTTAAAATTAGTTTAAAGGGAAATATGATAAACAGTACTAAAATTCCTTAAACTACATAATTTATTCTTCCTTTTCACCAATACAAGTACAATCTACCTCCGATGATATCGAACCTGTCTTTTTAATTACTTATAATAGGTTTAACATATACGTATGAGACATAAATCCCCGTAAACGAGTAATAAAAATTGCATCTCATATTTAAATACGAAAAATCATAACATACATATGGAGACCAAGAATTTAAATCCAAACTTCATTGCTATAATTTTTATGCGTGGCGCTACTAAACTCCGGTCCTTTCAACTTACACATATAGGACTTATATCATAATCTTAACTAGATGGTTTGTGGAATTTGTGTTTGGAATTCAATACAGAAGAAGGGGCACCACATGATGTAAGAAGATTGCTCAATGTAACATGATGAAGAAGAAACAAGCCAAATGGCTTAAACTTGAATAAGTAGTTTTGGGATTTTACTGTATAGTCTACAATCATATATCCATGTACTTTAAAATAATCCATAATATTTATCTTATGATTTTCAGTAAAACATGGCGCTCTTTGTTCACTTGTGAATATATATATTTTATTGAGTGGGTGGTCTGATCTGTTTAGAATTCAATTTTGCACTGAATTTTATTGCGTCTGTTTATCTTATTCATACAATTGGTTCAAAATCATACACTTGCAAGTTCTACATTTTGCAAGACTTAATTCAACAACAACTCAATTGTGCCAAAATAATACTCAACCGGCATCTATTGGGTCCTTGTTCTTCTTTACGAAGCTTCAATTTTATTTTTATTTTTTAATCTTTAGAGAAAGGGAGATTTAATTCGTAATTTCCTTCATATATGTAAACAACAATGTCAGATAAATCCTCGATAAGGCGTAGCACAAGACTACAGATAACATATGAAGGCAGAAGGAAGAGAGCGATTGTGCCTCCCTCGGCAAGAAGCACGAATCATTTTCTGTTCAAGTTATTTACCAGGTACGTTTAACCCCAAATTATATGCCACCTTCAGTTTAAAACCAAAGGGAAACTCATAATATTTTCTTGCTTGTAGTGTGACTCACGCCGAGCTCAATGTCCTTCTTTGCATCGAATGCAGCTGTTTTAACCGATAATGTCGAACTATTAGCAAGTTTGGGCAGTGGTTCTTGTTCGTTTATTCCTTGTAATGGTGAAAAATATTTATTGTCAAGATTATTTAGTGCTGAGAATGATCACTGGATGCTAAGGATTTTGATTTGGATAACTTCTAATAATTTGAAATTTGGGGAACTAAGGTGAAAATAAGTTTTGACGTCAATTTTTTTTATTAAATTGGTCCAAATAATGAAGTATTGATGAAGCGAGAAATATCCAATCAATATTGGGCTCATTTTAAAGCTCAAATTATATGACGAATTATGGATTCAAGAAAAAGTTGATTTGGATAAGTCAAATTCGAGTTAAGGCCAATCAAAGTAAACTACTTTGTGGGTAATATTAATTTTTAAATTAGACCAAATTATCGCATCAATGTTGAACTCATTTTGAAGGTTGCATTAACTTGTGTAATGTGGTTTCCAGGAAACTTTCTTTTGATAAGAAATGAATTCATAAGGAACTAAGGGCATGTTTGATAGCACATTATTTTTCATGAAAAATGGAATTCAAATTTCAGCTTCCACTTTTTGGGTGTTTGATAGCATATTTTTTTCCAAGTAATTGGTTTTCTTTGTTTTCCTTGAAAATCAATTCCTAGTTGCTCTAGAATTTTTTATTTATTATTATTATTATTATTATTATCATCATCATCATCATCATCTAGCAATGGAAACAAATTTTATCCTAATTGTAAAAAAATATTTTCCTTTAATTGACAATTCCATGTAAAACAAAGTCAAACGAACAACTAAAAGATAGATGATTTTCTTAACTTTTTTTTGACAATGGAAACAAATTATATCCCTTTAATTGACAATTTTAATATAAAACACAGACAAACGAACACCAAAAAAATACTTTTATGTCAACATTTTTCACGTGAAAAAATTACACCAAAAAGGGAGAATTATTGAGATTGAATTAGCCTTTAAATTTTAATGAAATCCAACATGTTAAAAGGAATCCAATTTATGCCTCGATTTGGTAGTAATTTAAGTTAAATTCAACAATTAATTCTAATCACATATTTTATGGGATCTACAATATTTTAACTACTTATTTCATCATATATTTTTTTCAAAATCTATTAAAATTCTGATTTTTATCTCCACCACACAGAAGTATATAATTTATCATGAATGATGTGCATTCAATTTTGAAACCGTTTCATGTCAACTTCAAATGTTTACCCCAAAAATTCTCAAATTCTCACTATTCCTGTTCAACGTGGGAGTGAAATACACGAATACATATCCACAAAACATACGTCTCCTCTGGATGTTTTGATCTAGTTTTCTTTTAAGTCATATTCAACAATCAACTCCTAGAATTTTCTCTCCTTTTTATCTTCGTGGAGCTGAATTCCTTACAAGGCATCAATGTCGACCACAAAAAGGGTTAAACATTATCAGGACCTTGTATCCTTCAGTTCCCTCTAAAACTTTGATGTCCTCTTTTCTTCAAATGGAATATATTGAAGACTATCATTCAAATACATTTGATGTAATAAGTACCTTGAGTTAGAATGAGAAATTTATAGCTCGAAATTTTAATATTCTCTTATTTCTTATGCGTGTCTACCATTTAGGCAGAATAGTGTTATCCATTTTTACTAAGAAATGGAAAGAAACCTCAAAAATGAGCTTTGTGACACTTAAATTTTAAACTAATTTTGATTGATTTGAGCATCATATAGGTAATTATTATGCAAGCCCAATACACTTTAAGACAATATATTTTGTAACATAGATCTTGAAAGAAAAGTATGATGAGGCAATTCCTATTATACTCTTTTCTCATCACACACTCGAATCAGAAAACTGTTGATATTAATTTGCATCTCAGTCTTTCAAGTTTTGCCATGTGATTTAAACCAACATAATTGTTGATTGAATGTACCTATTAAAAAAAAAAAAAAATGAGGCTTCATTTTTCTAAGTCTGTATGGATATGCAAAGCAATTCCATTCCAGAAGTGCTTGACGTCATGGGCCCTGGACGTGTGGTTTTATCCATTCCATTTAATTACCTTGATTTTTCTTTCATTTATCATTAATTTTTAGTCTTGAAATTTGTCATTAGTTTCTTAGTCTTTCTACCCACGATCTAGAAATATCATTACTACCCATATTATCTTAATATTTAGGTTGACTTGGTCGTCTTCAATTATCATCTTCAATAATTTTCTCTCCTTTGTATCTTTTTGGAACTAATTCCGTAGAAGGCATTAATATCAACCACAAAGAGCTTAACATTATCAAGACTGTTTTCTTTGAATTCTTCGAAAACTTTAATGTCCTATTTTGTTTGGATGTAATTTACCTAACAACCAATACCTCATAGTGTTTCTAAACTAATTTCAACTGATTTGAGCATTATAAGGTTTGTACTGTGCAAGCCCAATACAACTTAGGAAGGTATATTTTGTAACATACGTCTTGAAAGGAATATCTTTAAGCATGATGCGACGAATCATTCGACACTTTACTTTCTAATCACACATTCAAATCCGAAAACTGTTGAGAACAGTTGGCATTATAGTCTTTCAAGTTTTGCCGTGTGATTTAAACCAGTGCAATTATTGATGAAATGTACTTATCAAATAGAAAAATAAGACTTCCTTTTTCTTTAATTCAATTTATTTTCATTGACTTGCCTGAATATTTGTCACATCATCTTTTTCTCTACTCTTATATATTACCGCTATAAAAAGAAGAAAGGGGAAGGGCATGAAACCTAGAACAAATAAATATGAAAACATCAAAAATAGTCCTATTTTTCCTTCTTCATATTCTCTTTTTTTATTCACTTCCATTTGCACTGAACACTGTGTCGTCTAAGAGAATAGAAGGAGAAGCTCTTGTAAGGTGGAAAAAGACCTTATCATCTCATGATTTTCTTGATTCATGGGCCCTCAATAATACTATGAATCTCCGTAGTTGGACAGGGATTGTATGCAATTCTGAGGGGTCGATTTCTGAGATAAACTTATCACTTTCCCTTAACGGTACGCTTGACAAACTTGATTTTGCTTCATTTTCGAATCTCACTCGTCTCAACCTCAACAATAATAATTTCTATGGGTTCATTCCATATCAAATTAGTGATCTTAAAAATCTAACTTATCTTGATTTGTCATATAATCACTTTACTGGTGAAATTCCGGAATCGTTATTCACCAATTTAGGCAAACTTGAATATCTTACCCTTACAGGCAACTATTTCCAAGGCACCTTGCAATCAATTCTTACCAAGCTGACAAGATTGAAAGGTATTGTGTTAGCACAAAACAACTTCTCTGGTTCAATTCCTGATATTTTTGGTTCGATGCCAAATCTAGAAATCCTTGGATTAACTTCATTTCAAGGAAATATCCCAGCTTCCATAGGAAAACTCAGGAATCTTCGACTTCTTGATCTCACAATCAATAGCCCACTCAATTTTACAATTCCTCCTGAGCTTGGGCTCTGCACAAACCTTACCTACTTGGCATTAAGTGGGAATTCACTCACGGGATCCTTGCCTTTATCCATGACCAATCTTACCAAGTTATCTACTTTGGCTATCACTGATAGCAATCTTTCTGGTCAAATCCTATCTTGTTTTATCACAAGTTGGACCCAATTAACAGCGTTGAGAATTCTAAAGAATTCTTTTACCGGGGAAATTCCATCTGAAATAGGTTTGTTGATAAATCTCACTACTCTTATTCTGAATGGTAATAGATTTTCAGGCTATATCCCTCAAGAGATAGGAAGCTTGAAAAATTTGTGGTTCCTGGACCTTTCAGTTAACTTATTTTCAGGTAAAATACCTCCAACAATCTGGAATCTAACAGAGGTTATCATCATGGACATTTCCTCCAACCATCTCACGGGTACGATTTCACCTGAGGCTGGGGATTTGATGTCACTCAGGTATCTAGATCTTAGTATGAATCAACTGAGTGGGCAGTTGCCAAAAAACATCTCTAAACTTGGAAAAGGATTGGCTTTTTTGAAGTTGAAGAAGAATCACTTTCATGGCACCATTCCTAAAATATTTACAAAGGGATGTGAACTGTTGAATTTGGACGTAAGTGGCAATCAATTGACTGGAATATTACCACACACGTTGGTCAATTGCAGGTTGCTCGAAGTACTAGATATTGGGAACAATGACATAAGTGGCTCATTCCCTTTTTGGATGGAAAGTCTTCAAAAGCTTCGAGTTCTTGTATTGAAGTCCAACAGATTCAATGGTACAATACCTATTTCAAAGGTGAAGCTTTCATTTTCTAATTTACGAATTATTGACATATCCTATAATGAATTCACTGGAGTACTCCCAAACGAATTTTTGGAGAATTTCAAAGCCATGATGAATGAGAATGACAATGACATTGAAGCGAGTTACGCTGATGTTCTTTCGACTATTTCGTTGAAGGGGTTCGAGTATGACTTGCGAACATTTAGAAGACACTATACAAGCATCGATCTATCAAACAACAAATTTCAAGGAGATATTCCAATTTCTATAGGAAAGATCAAGGGCCTACACACTCTGCACTTAGCTAATAATAATTTCACAGGTCATATCCCATCACTGGAAAATTTGACTTCACTTGAATCATTGGACCTTCGTTCAAATCAATTGGTAGGGGAGATTCCTTGGCAATTGACAAAGTTGACATCTCTATCATTTCTTAACCTTTCATACAATCATCTTGTTGGTCGTATACCTGAGCGAGGGCAGCTTCTTACGTTTCCTAACAGTTCATATATTGGCAACCCAGAATTATGTGGATTGCCATTGACAACAATGTGTGGAAATGGTGAACCACAACCGAAGCTTCCAGTTTCGACGACACGGAGAGATGATGATTTAAATAGCTTAGACGGATTCACCTGGCAAGTTGTCCTCGTGGGGTATGGATGTGGAATGTTATTTGGATTGGTTGTAGGATATTTAATTTTTAAATATGAAAAACCTGAATGGTTTATAGCATTTGTTTATCAAATTTACAGAATAAAAAATGGTAGAAGGTGGAGGTAGATTGTTTATAGTTATTAGTTAAGAGGAAATAAGTTCAATGTTAAGTCTTCCTAGAATATACATATAAGCATTTATTTACTAGTGCAATAAAAGGAGAAGAAAATAAATGTATTGTCACCCTTCGGACATAGAAAAGCCTTCATTCTCCTTCTTCGTATTCTTCTGTTTTTACTTTAATTGAATATTGTAAATCTAAGAGAACATAACCATATTTTTTAAATATTGCCCAAATTATTTTTGTTTGCAGATATAGAGAAATTGCAATTAATAGTCAAGTTTTCTTTACCATATTCAAGGGAACCAAGTTATTTGAAGGAGACATCTCATCATTTCCCTTAGAACTTCCCAAGCCATCTTCCTCTTTCCCTCAGTTGATCCCCACCAAAACTATAAGCATCCTAATCTCTTCGTAAATCAAATTTTGCAACCCGAATAAACTCATCATATTTGAAGGGATTGGTTGCAAAATAGCCTAAAATCATCATTTCCCAACCCCCAGTCGAAAATAGATTTCGGCCCGCCCATTAACCCTCTTCCATATTCATTCCTTTATCGTGAAAAATGTTAGGAGATTATTCCTGCCCGTAGTAGCTAGTATCCCCAGAAATACATCTTGAGAATAGACATTGGGGAGAGACCAAGAAGTAGTTGGACAAGGACTCATTCCTTACTAGCCAACATATTTGACCATTTCAAAGCCAACAAAGGCGGCTTTACTTTTTGATGTCTATGTCGCCGCAAGAAGATGAGGTTTTCAATATTTTAGGAAAAAAGATGAACGAATGGGCCTATCCGTCCAGGGGCGCACAGGTCACTTCTATTGGCTGGGAGTCTGTTGCGCTCCCTGGACAGACAGGGCCAACGTGGCCCCATCCGTGTAACAGCATCCCATATTTTAGATGGATTCACCTAGCAAGTTGTATATAGTGAAAATTTGTATATATATAGACGTTTAGTTTTCTCTAAGAAAATAAAGAAAAGCCTATGCTCAAAAAACCAATTTCTAAAACACAAGCACAAAAATTAATCAAGAAAAAGAAACTAGTCAAACATGCATACTCCTTGAATTTTGGCTTAACAGTTGAAAAACCCCCAACCTATTAAGTATTCTGTGAAATATTCCTACCTTTTAGAAACAACAGAGAAGATCCATATTTGAAACTTTTAGTGCAAAATACAACATTTGAAGTGCGGAAAATCCTCTACTGTCCAATTCCATTAGTTTAACCATTGAATATAGTAAACATTGTCGAAATTAAAATGGAATAATTACAGATTATATTATCTTCTTCCCCACCCCCATCGCATCCAACCCCTGGTTAGAATTAATGAAGGCTGATAATAGGAAGAATTTAATCGACCCGAGATTAGCGAGCAATTACTAGTGGCATTGGAAGAGATGATACCCTTTAAAAACCTCTACAGGAGAGAATACCAAGGTCACATGAAGAACGTACAACTTGTTGGGAATTTACTTATCATGCAAAGCGAAAAATAAAACAGATTTCAATTCCCAACAATGATCTACTTAGTGTTTAGGTAGAAATTGTGATAAAAGTAATACATTTTTCTAAATCTGCAAACTACTTTAATTTTCTTTATTTCCAACAACCTTGTTTTGCCACCACACCTGTTAAATTATGCAGCTTCCAATGGAATTCTACACAGAGAAAAAGATTGTAGGAACCGAGGTTTTCTCCTCTTATGTTAGCAAGAATGAAATTCTCTACAAAATGTAAACCTTAGCTACTTATTTATATTAGTCCAAACGGGCTTGACCTGTCTCCTAACCCCGTTTAATATTTAGTTAACTCATTTAATTAAATTCGGTCCATGAATTAATTAATCCAATTAATTGATTCGGGCCTATAAATAAGCAACATAATTAATTAATTTGTTTGTTAAATTAATTAATTGACAAATCACAATATTCTATTTCTCTTTTTGTGTGCGACCCATCAAGTTTTTAATCACGATGTCAAAGGATGTGAATTATTTTTTTGATCTAATCAAAATTGATAAACACCATTTTAATTTAACACCAATTCACATTCGCTGTTCCAGATTGACATCTAGTAATGTGTCAGGTCAATACATGTGACGGGAAATGTCACATGGTATAACAAAATCAAACTCGTTCGTTTACCATGAAACTATAATCCACTCGTCAATATGATCCGATCAATTACGAAATACGGAAGTGTGTCAATCTCAATTATCGATTATATCTTTCATTCCACTATTAAATCTATAAGTTGAAAACTTCTTTTCGACTTTTGAGAACACCTCGGCCAAGAATTTCGTTATCGACTTAATTAAATGAAATGCATATCATAATCTTTTACTATCTGAGAGTGACAAATCGTCCATTGGTCATTTACAACCTTCATACGATTCTTGATATATCCAAACGATGCCGCATGAGTGACTCTGGGCAGAACAACATCCAACACCGTCAAAGTATGACCGTCCTCATATAAGGCACCATGATGACCTTAAATCAAAGGACCAATTTCACTACCGAACGTTAGAGATTAACCACTGACACTCTGATAGTTATCCATGTGAAATCTTTTAGTGGGTCTCTAATGTTTTATTTTATAACATAACATCCACGTGTTCATTTAAGTGTCACCATACTTTGGCTTGTGATATCAGTTACTTCACATGTAAGAAATGTCACACGTGATGGTCTATTCGTAATCACGATATCGAATATTGTTATTACTCACAACTACGGATAATTTAAGATTCAATCATATGCAATTTGTATATCACAATCAAGCTCTTTGTGATTAACAAATTACGAAAATTTGAATCTACGGATTATATAATTTAATTTAACTGAATATTAGTTAAGTAATAGATCTGCCATAAAATTGCACCAATTAAATTAAAAGTGCTTATATCCAAAGTTGATTGGACCTAGGGCTATACAACTGATAAACCCAACTTTTATTGGCCTCTGTTTGTCCCTTATTTTGGTTTCCACATTTATTTTTGATTTTGGAAACCTCGTTTGACAATAATTAAATAATGGATAAAGTTGCATTCGATGACATGGAATTGCGGGGGTACGAAACTTGCATCCAGTTCAGTTGATCAAACTGCTCGCATTTGGTATATTGAGCCTTACGGTCGCGTGAGCTTCGTTGATTTATTCAATTCTAAATTCGACTCTTTATTTGTGTCAGTTTAAAGATTAAAATTATTTAGGAAACATCTGTGTCTTTGAACTATTATGCCTCATAGGATTGAGTTTCGAAGGCAAGATATAGGATTTCAAAATTGTTATTGTTGGATGTGTAATTTGAGGAAAGCATATTACATATATTGCACATTGCTTACATAAAATATTTCACCGACTGTAAATATTTACTTGTAACTCCATTTCATTGCTCTCATTGTTTGATACTTTTGATCGGGATTGTAAATAAAAAGAGGTTTTTGTTCATGAATGGAAGAATTTTGTAAGGTTTGGAATTGTGGTTGGCACATATAAAAATTTGAGTATAATATGCCAAAACATAAAAAATAAATAAATAATAAAAATAAAAAATTGGAGACTGCAACTGCAATTATTCCTTCATAATTTTGACAATTTTTACTTTTTTTTATCGGTTAAACTAATGGAATTGAATAATAGGGGGTTTTTCGCACCTCAAAAGTTGTGTTCCGCACTAAAAGTTTCAAATATGGACAGTTTCTGCTATTTTCAAAAGGTAGAAGGTTTTCCACTTAATGTTCAATAGGTAGGGGGTTCATGCTATTAAGCCTTGAATTCCTCGTATTGTTCGTTAATTCTCTCATGTCCACTTCTACACCATTTTAAAATAATTGGAGGAGGAATGCAATGAGTGACACGTAGATTGTTGGCCACCAAAAGCAAAAAAGTTCTCAATGAATTGGGAAATACATGAAATTGACCCAAATAAGAGAGGTCATTTTGGACATTTCTAAACATTTGAAACTACCTAAAATACCCTTAAACAAATATTAAAAATAACCTATTTCATTATAAAAATCTTCTATTTAAGTCCTTAAAAAATTAACAAGTAATTTTTCTAAAAATTTGAAAGAATTATTAATGAATAATTATAAAATGGAAAAATCCAAATATAAGAGAGGACCATATAATATAAAAAAAGGTTGTTAAAAATAAAAAAGAAATTAAGTTTGAAAAAGAAATTGATAAGATAGCATATCAAGAACAGTTATATGCATCACAAGAAATATTAAAATGTTTCAAAGAAAACTTATTAGAAAATTTTGCTAAAGAAATTGTAAGATCAATAATCATAAAAGATATACAAGATATCATAGATAAATTAGAAAAAAGGAAGAAAAATATCTCAAAATACGATATACCTTTTAGAACAGACGATAACAGATATTGATATTATAAATTCTCAGACATTACTAGACTTTGAAGAATTACTTAAAAATTTATGAGAAAACCAATAAAAAATAGATTACCACAAGCATATAAAAAATTAGTTTTTAACCTTATATTAAGATTTTATATACGCTTAATAACAAATAAATTAACTAAAACAAAAATAAAAGAATCTTTAGAATATTAGAATACTAGATTTGTGATTATTAGATTATTAGATTTTTATTCGCTCATAGTAACACCCATCCCGTTGGTATCAGAACCAGAGAGATCATAAGAAAGTATATAAGAATAAATTACCTAAAAGATATTGAAAATAAATAAAATTTATGATTTTAGAAATTATTGAAACTTATAAAAATAGACTAAGGTATCAGGTAAAATATAGTTCTAATATAGAAGGCTATATAGAAGAAGATAATATAGTTGGAACATATAGTAAAGACATAAAAGAAGTATTAGAAATTTTTAGAGTAATTAAAAATTTACCTTTAGAACTAAAAGAAAAAATAATTAAAATGATATTATTTGAAGAAATAAGCATATATATATATATATATACATTAGGAAAAATCCAGAGTGAAATAGATTTCATAATAATTTGAAAAAAAAAATTATTATGGAAATCATAAAAATAAATAATTATTATCAATGTATTGAAGAAAAATGATGTTATATATTTTTCAACCCTATCTCTAATAAATTAAAAATAATAACATTATATGTAACTAGAAATTTACCTAGAGAAATAAAGGAACAAATATTACATAAATTAATTGTAGGATTTATCAAAAATAGTCGTACATATGAAATAATTATCGAAGTATTTGAAAATAAATTATACCATAGAGAAATATTTGAATCAACATAAAAAATATAATGGAAGAAACTAAAAATATTTTAGAAAGAAAGTTAAGAAGAATAAGATTAATAAATAATAAAATTTTAGATGAATTATTAAAACCTGGAGATATAACTGAAACTCAAGAAAAACAAATATTAAAATTAAAACAAGAAAAGTATATAGAAAAGGCAAGGTATTATGAAAAATTAAAAGAGCTAACAAATATTGAAGTTATAAAACAAAAATATGATAAAATGATAAAAGAGTGTAAAAATGCTGAGTATATAGCATTTTATTATTGTCAATCAAAAAATCGATAAAATGTCAATCAGTGAACATATGGAAGAATTAAAACATTTAATAAGAACATTAATAAATGATGTACAAGAATTAAAGAATGAAATAAAAGAAGCAAGAAATGATATAAATATATTGAAACTTGAAGTCAGAAAATTAAAAGAAAAATGAAGAAAAGAATAATAGAATAGATAAAAAATTTATAGAAAAAGAAATAACCAGAATAGGGAAAAAACATATTGAAAGGGAAAATATAATAATAGAAACAGGAAGCATGGATGATGAGTTTAGAAAAAATATATTAGCTAAAATATTAGAAGAAGAGGAATCTAGAGAAAGAATGTTAGGTAAACAAAAAATTGAAAAAAATCAAGACAAATAAAATGAATGAAGAATTAGATCTACTTATAAATAATTTTGATCATTTAAGCTTAGAAAGTATAGATGATGAATATCAAATCTTAATGAATACTGGAGGAGGACCTAATCCCGTAGGAACCTCTAAACAAGAATCAATAGATCCAGATAAAAGTTATGCTCCGATGTATAATAAACCATATAGACAATTTTATGATAAAATAAGAGATAAACAACCGTCTAAAGAAAATAAATATAGTAATAGATTTGAATTAAATAATAATTATGATAAACCTGTCAACCATGGAGGAAGAAAATTAGATTTAGATTGCAAAATAGATACTAAGAAAGCCTTAATAACTTGGGCAGACTCAATGATATTATTCTTTTTATATAATAAAGACGATACATGGGAAAATACTGAAAGGAGAATAGATTTTTTAATTGCATCTTTTGAAAGAAATGTTAGAAATTGGTAGGAAGGAATTAGTAGTGATACAAAATCATTAATAAAAAGAAATGTACAAACAGAAATAATAAAGTTAGATAAACTAGGAATAGAAAGATTAGTAGAATATATTGCAGATAAATTCTTAGGAGAAAATTGGTTAAGAAATTATGAAGAAGAAGCAATACGAGAAAAAGATAATGCAAGAGTTAAGTTAATTAATTTAGCAATTTGTGATATGTGTAAAATTAAATAATATACTTGTGAATTCAAGGAATACTATTATACTCAATTTTATAGTAATGAGAATCAAGAAGTATATCAAGATATGTATTATAATAAATTACCAGGGTCATGGGGAATATATTTTAAAATAGAATTTGAAAAATATATTAAAAAAAATATAGGAATACCTAGAACATTAGGATCAAGAATAAAATTCTTGTTTGAAAGACTTGCATATATATGTCAACAAAGACAATTACTGAAAAAATTAGGAAAATTAACTAGAATATGTTATGAAGATATGGAAAAACCTACAAGATGGGGAATATAAAAACAAAAAGTTTAAAAAATATAGAAACTTTAAGAAAAAATACATAAAACTTGGAAGGAAATATTATAAAAGGAAAAATAATATACAGAAAAATAAATCTTATAAGAAAGATAAAAAACAATGTAAGTGTTGGAATTATGGAGAAATAGGTCA